ATAAAAATAGCATAGAAATAGCATATAAATAGAGTAGAAATAGAAGTGTAATATAGGACATTATACTATATATTACACGTACATTACACATCATATTGCACATCGAGTGCGATATCTCTAAGGATAGCTTCAATTGCAACCATACATTTACATTTTATTATTAATATTTAAATCGTGGACTTGAAGATTTTTAATATCAGTTATTTCATTGCTACAATAAATATTGTTGCGTTACAATACAAATTACAAATTACAACTGATAAATAACAAACTGTATGGAAGCCTAAATGAGTAATAAAAAACGACGTTGATTGTGAAAATCATCTTGACATATCCCTTCATAGCTAGAAAATCTTACTTTTACCGCTACCGCTTGGTAGCAACTGCAATTATAAGTTGCTGTTAAATCGAGTATCGATACCAGATTAACCATGAAACAGATTAAGACGGCGGAACCCAACCACCAAACGCTTTCTCCAATTCTCGTGCCACAGCCACACACAGATGATCGTTATAATGTCCTGCTACAACCTTAAACAAAACAATTACAATTTTAGTAAATTATTTTATTAAATTACATAATAAAAAATAGTAAAATATGCTTTACATTTATATTCTATACCGCTTTCTATTCCTTGAATTTAGACTTACAATTAGTTGCAGGAATATTAGTAAAAATTAGTATTTTGTTATTTTATTATTTTATTATTTTACTAGCAAAATAAATTTTGAAATTGTATCTGCGTATGTAATTGCAATCAATCTTACGAAAGTTTTGAATTTTAGGTATTGCTCACATTAATACGCATCAAATTTACACATAAAATAATTGCTTCCAAAGTTAAGAATACGAGTTTAGCTTTCACGAGTGTAAAATAAAACATATTTTATTCGATAAAATTTTAATTATTCTTAAGTAATAAGTTCCCTCATTCTCAATTAGAGAAAAAAAAGAAACAGAAAAAAAAGAAGAAAAAAAAAAACTATTATACGGTGAAATTCCAGATCGACTACATTTTCGATGATCTTGGAATATATTAAAAAGGACTAAATTTTGAACAATTTTTTCCTTTGCAATATTATCGGGTTCACATTAGTTGCCAAGATATTAGCAAAATATTAGCAAAATTTTTCGCATCTTTCGTGTTTATGTGAAATAGGAAATCAAAATGATCAAGTTTCAACTGGTTTGAAAATTTAACGGTGTTATAAAAATTTGGTGGTGTCGCACTCACTCTGAGCCACAAACGGCCTTCCATGAGAAATAAATTAACCCAACTCTAATCCGTTTACTTGATCGTGAATATCCTATATCAGTGAATTGAAGTTAAGTTTAGTCCGCTAACGAAATTCAACATGTGCAAAAATTATTTAGAAAATCTACAAAATTATCAGAAATCATGATACTTTTTTGAAAAGCTCGCTCGTTGTACATCCGAACTGTTTGGTCATTACATTGATAATAGTGATTCCGTGTTTAATAGGTAAACGGGAAATAACTGGTGGAGCAACGTTGAGGATAACGTTGACAACAATAAGGGTCTACAACGGACGCGTACTTGCTGATATCTTGGAAACTAAAGTCGGCATAATATTACAAGGGAGAAAGTCGTTGAAAATTACATATATTTAACAGTTTAAACAGTCAATACTGTGGTAGTGGTTATCATAGAATGTGTGGTATGAGTGTGAGGAATGTTTGTGTGGAAGGATGTGTGTGTGACGAATATGACAGAGAGTCGCGAGAAAACAATCAGTAGGTGAACGACAATCATTACATGTAGACGTTGTGTGTGAGAGAGTGATTATATCAAGAGATTATATCGCAGTTAGAAGTGAATTTATTTTACGAGATTTAGTTATAATTTATGTTGTGCTGTTATTGTGTTAAATAAATCTTCTTATTAGTTTATCCATTTACTCGCAAATACAACTTGACCATTTATGCCATTATTATTTGTATTTATTTCATTTAAATATTTGTATTAAAATCACCCATATTTATAACACTGCCATAAATATCCCGTTCATACGATCCTTGCACGCAGTCACTCGTCCAGCTATAAGATTACTTAATCTTTTTGTAATCCATGTAAGCTTTAGACTACAAGCCTATATTTTGAAAAAAGAAATTAAAGGAAAATCTTCTTTTAAATTTACTTTTGTTTGTAGATGTAAAACTTTTTTCCAGTAATGAAAAATCGTGTATTTCCGTTTCATGATCGTGTCGAGGGAGGAGATACCATAATCACTGAAATCCGTATTCCATATCCTAGCTATCTTCTTGTAAACGTATACATAGTACATATGCTAGTTACTATAGGATAAGCCTGTGCATAAACCATGATCTCCACCTTCCAAATTCCATCACGTATAAACATTAAAGCAACAAATGAAAAGTAACAATTCTCATGGAGACAATATTTATGTTTTTGTTTATTTTGATTATTAGTAGCATCTTGGAAATTTTTTATTATATATATATATATATATATATTAATAATATTATATTATATTATTATAGCATATTTGGACAAATTCTATAACGTTTAGAAATGAAAGAAGTTTTCAAACGCGTTTCGCTATTCCTGATTTTTATTTTATCGTAGCTTATAAAATCAGTCTATTATTAACTTAACCTTAAAGTCTATTGTTAACTACTTCTAAACCCCTAAGAAACCCCTGAAACCCCTAAAAATAATTGAATAATAATTTCCTTACTTGTATTCCAATAGGTAATCCATTCTTATCTAGACCCAAAGGAACTTGACAAACCGGAAATTTCAAAACATTGAAAAGGCACCAATAACCAAAATTAAATGGTCTTAAATAAGCTGTATAATGGTAACCAGCTGGGAAAGGTGAAGATGGATAAAATAATATTCCATTATTTTCCAATATATTCTGAAAATAAAAATGAAAACTGTTATTAAACGTATAGTTTGAAAATCAAAATTAATTAAATTTATATTAATTTCAATTGAAATGTATAATTTCGTATTTCAAGCAAGTTTAGCTTATATATAACACCAACCTGGTATTGCACCTACTAATTTCGATAAAATTTCTTTTCAATTTCTAAGTACACTTTCATCTTGTTTTGCAGAAAAATGATGGAAATTTCGAACGAAGGTAAAAAAAATTGATCAGAGGAGAAGATGGACAAAAAATTAACATTGTTTGTAAATTACAATTATTGTAAATTGCTACTTGTCGAATGCACAGATCAAGAGAATATCGATATTTTTATTTGGAATATATGTATAAATAAAGTTTGAATATCAATATAACATCTAAATGTCTTTCTATTGACATGATATATCAATTAAATCTAAAAATTTGCTCTGATCGACACTTGTCAACAATTATTTTTGTTTCCTATAGATTAGTAGTTTTTTGCGTCCCCTTGAATTGGTAATTGGTTTCTTATTAAATTGTACAAAAATATTTTCTCCCTTTTCATGAAGTACTCTATTTACAAGACAAATTATTATTTTCAAATTTAAATTCCACTAATTCTATCCGAATATATTATACGTGACATGTGTAAAAATAAAATTTATGGGTTCAAATATTATTATTTTCAAATATTAATATATTAACGCTAAGTTATTCTGTTATTCGAATATTATTCCCAAAAAATATTTCAATTAAAACATAAACGATCATTTCCAACTAAAGTAATTAATTCTTCGATAACTACTTAATTAACTAAATGAAACTTAAGTAAGGTCAATAAAATGATCGGACCTTCCTATATATATATATCAATATATCAATATTACTCAGATATTAATAGAATATCGATAACTCTTAGTCTAAACTATAGTTTATGCGATGTAACCGAATCCGAAGACCTAGGATTATCGTATATTATATAACATTAACGATAATATTAACCAAGTGCATCGTGTCTCATATTTATTTGTCCTTAACATATAGTGAATCAGGTAAATATTCGGATGCTATCGTATGCTTGAGTTTAATGTTAATTATAGAAGAAATCGAATGGAACTTGTTTCTATCGTTAAAGTATTCATTGTACAAAGTACGTTATTTCGAAAATGAGCCGGCAAAAATTGCTGCTTGATGTGATTTAATAACGAGCGTAGTAGCGGAATGAGTTTATATGATAAAAAGATTTAAAATCGAAGATAGGATAGTTAGAAAGTTACACAAAGCGGTCGGTGAAAAGTAGAAAGCGATGGAGGAAAAAGAAATATCGTTTGGTAAAATGAAAGAAAATCTCTGGATTTTTCAAAAATCGAGAAATAATTCTCGGGAATATGGAGAAGAAAGCGGAAGGCAAACTTTAGGGAGCTGAGTGTCAGGCTCTGTGTGTGACATCGAAATAGACGAGCAATCTCTGTGATACGCGATATAGGCATATATAGGCGTGTATAGGCGAAGAATATTTTAGTAAGTTTCCTGCAAAGGAAGCTCGTAATTAACGCCCGGCTGATTATGAGAATGACGCCACTACTATATGTCATCGGCTGTCACTGTTTCGTGAAATTCGTGTGACGAAATAATTGCGTCATCGGCTACCGACAATTCAAATTCGTGTAATTTAATTTAAATTCAAACGATAGTTGTGTCACCGATCGTTATAGTATTACGATTAAACAATTATAATAAATTATAAACTTATAAAATTATAATTAAATAAAAACTTACCACCAAATATTGTTTCATGCGACTAGTTACATCCGTTGCCCATAGGGCATGTTCTTTGGGGAGTAAATCTCCGTCGATTAATTTCAAGATTGCAGCTAATGTCAATTCTGATGTTCCAGTTAATAATCTTGATATTTCTGTAAGAGCACTCGTACGATACTAAAAAAAATATAATACTTAGATTGAAGAAATCATTGCTTTAGTAAGGATTATTCGTATTATTTTGTAAGGATAATGGTATATAGAATGATAATGATATATAGTAATAAATCGAAATAAAGATTGTTGCGACGGAAGTCCTTCCAGAGGATTAAGCTGTATATCTAAACGCAAAAGTACAAATCATTTACAACTACCAAATCCGATAGTTTGGACCCATGCTCGACAGACCCACCGAAGCGACGGACGGACCTTTACTTATAAATCACGCCATTATGACATTATAACCGAAAACAATACCAAAAGCAACTTCCTTGAGAGTTTCCCGTTCTCTTCAAACCTAAACTCCTTCCGACACACCCAAGTAAAATCAAAAAAAACATAAAAAAAACATCAAAAAAAACACTATTTTTCCTCTACCAATATCCATCCTTAACCAATCACGAAAAACCCGAGATTACGTCTCCTTCCGACACACCCAAGTAAAATCAAAAAAAACATCAAAAAAAACATCAAAAAAAACATCAAAAAAAACACTATTTTTCCTCTACCAACATCCATCCTTAACCAATCACGAAAAACCCGAGATTACACCAGACAGACAGACAGAACACAACGAGAAACATTACAGAAATCAATCGGAACTCAAACGTAACGCATTCCTATCACAGAAATCATTTAAAGAAGAACGCGAACACTAGCGAACAACATAACGCAACTACATCCTCGAAATCGCTAAACAACTATATATTGCAATAAAGTATACAGAAGCAGAAAGTGTCTCTTGTTGCACAATCAAGGTGATCAGTATTACTTAGCGCATACTCACATCACTTATTGTTAGTAACAACCATCTCATTTTGCTGCCTCCGTATACAAAGAGTAATTATAAAATATATTTGTTTTCTAGTAAAAATTCATTTTGAAATAGGAGATATATGTATATAAACTATGCAAGAAAGATCGAGCATAAGTGGGCAAGTGATATTACCATTTAATTAGTCTCCAATTATATGATATAATATAAGTTTATTGTATATAGTATAAAAATGTATTACTATTACGAAAATCACTCGTATATTATTATCAGTTAAACTCGTTAATATTTGAATCATTAATAGTTGCACTGATCTATTTAAAAGTTTGTATTTTTTTCTTTTTCATGTATCATTACAGAAATTATGGTGAAAGTTCGGCACTTCGGCACCCTAAGTTAACTTGGTTTGTTTCTTTCTTCTGTCTTTTTTTCTTCTTTTTTCTTCTTTTTTCTTATACATACTCACTCCGCTAAGCGGAGTGATAATCTCTAACAAAGAACGATTTCACGACACACGTACAAACAGAATTCGATGCAGCAGTATCACGAATTTTTACAAATATCTCGAAAACTAGGATCGAGCTACAATTACTGCTCGGTTAAAAATTGCTCCGAATTTCGTTCTCTATAATCTAATTCAAAATCATCGAGATCTACCCACGCATTATGCGGTTATTTGAAATATCATATTTTTTTGCAAAAGAAGTAGCAAGAGGTCATTATTTTCTCAAGCTCTTTCAATCTTATTGTCGATGCTAAGATACGGCATTTTTAAGAAAAATAAAAAGAAACCGAAAAGAAGTAAGTTTTTTTATGCCAGGAACACTGAAGTGAACTTTTACCGAAAATATTTAGTTTTGTTAGGAAGCAGAAGGACTGCTTCTTGTAAAAGTATCCTAGTTCTTAAGAAATCCTTAATAAATCGTCGTAATCATAAACGTAAATTAATCATAATTGGAGAGAATGCAATGAATACTGAACCCTATAGTTTTTACACAAAAAAAGGAAACTCTAAGCAGAATAATAAATCATAAATAACTTTTGCTTAAGTAACATTTGTCAAGACTTAAAACATTCCTATAGAATATCTCGAATCTTAGACGCAATTATATCAATGGATGACGTTTGAATACACGACCATGCTAGATCATGTCCATCGACTATACGGATAATACGTTATATTAATAAACATAAAAATTTGTACCTTTCCGTTTGTTATACTTGAGTTGAAATCAAAATCTTCTTGTGTCATCCAAAATCTCCATAATCGATAACTATACTCGGAGCCAGGTATCTTTATCTGTAATGCAAATACATCATTACATCATACATTGAAACTTGAATATAAATCATAATGCTACGTGTCCATTTGAGAGCTTCTCGCGCGAGTTCTCTCGAGAGTGCTTTCAAATTGTGTGTCGATTTGAGAGCAACTGCGGCAAGTTTTGCTCTCAGGTAGGCGATAGAAAACTCGCCGAGAGTTTACCCTCTCGTATAGAGATCTCGTAGAGAAATCTCTGCTTTACGTGAGCTCACTTTACGAGCTCATCAGACTGCTCTTCTTTACGACAATTGATTCTATCTGCCTCTTCCTTGTCGTCCTTCATCTCGCGTCACCTTTCGTTCATTCACACACGCACTACACACACTTAGTTTCACACTTGATCCTAAATTGAACATTGACTCGACAGGCTCGTCCCTTGCATCGATAGTTGTTTACTTTATCCGTCGTACGTTCCGACGGATAAACATTGTCAACAAGTGGTCACGCTTCGATCCGAGAGTACTCTCAGGACTTGAATCCCGTTTCGAATTTTGCGAGTTTTGAGCAATCAGATGGAATTTTGCGAGAGCAATGGATAATTGTGTCTACTTGTCCACTCGCGAGCGAGTCGTGACACGCCGACTTTCTGACAATTGAACGATGCTTTCCAACAGTCGCACAGAAACAATCTCGAGAACAGCTCGCGACAGTTTTACTCTCAAGTGGGACACGTGGCATAAAAGCCCTGAAAGGTTTGATTCTTGAATATTGATCTTTAATCTATCTTTGATCGATAGGTAATCTCGGTAATATATAAATGTAATAATATATAAAAATGGAGCAATCGCAAGTGACGAATTTGTAGTAAAATAGCAAAAGCATTAAATAAATGTAAAAAGTAAAAAAGAGAGAAACTACATTTTGTCCACCCTTACGAAAAGTTACGAAGAGTCAGTCTACCAATATCCTTTTTAAAGTACACTATCCTCTCGAAACGACATCGAGATACGAATTCAAATATTTTATACAAATTCGTGATCATCGTTATAGAAATTTTTAATCCGAACAATCTGATCAAGCAGAAATATAGCAGAAATATAATAGAAGCATTTAAATTCTTGCTCTGCTTATTTCGTCGATATAATGGAAAAACTACTTTCGAAAAACTACACACGCGACAAGGTGAATATGAAAATAATACGATATTTTGATAACATGGCAAAAATGCAAATAAAAGTACAATTAATACGTTAAATAAAACGTTAAATAAATGGAACACGTGTATTTATGGTGATAAAATGATGTAATTATATATAATTTTTGAAACTTACTTTTGTCGCAGATCCAGTAATTTCTTTAAAATGATCCACAGCTTTTAAAAGAACAGCTCTCATTTCACTATTTACTCTACTTGCTCTTATATCACCTGAACTTTCTTGATAAAATATATTAAGACGTTTTATATCTACTTCTTTGTCAAAAAGTGATATGTTTTTCCCAATTACAATTTTCAAGAGAGGTCCTAAATCTTCTGCTTTCCTACATATCGGACCTACTTCTGCCATTGAATCGATATAATAAACCTGTTGTCGAAGACCAATACCTTTCAACGGTGTTAAGCCTAAAAATTGAAATTTATTTTCAGTTAAACCTTGATAAACGCCTTAATATTATTTCGATTATTTCAATTACCAAACAATTACCAAACAATTACCATACAATTATCATACAATTGCTCACGAATCATTTTTTTATTGAATAATTGAATAAAGAATAATTGCAGAATTTAATTATAAGCAAAGCACAAGTAAAAAGTTATTTTTATACATTTTAATTATTAATATTGTAGGAATGTTTGGTAAGCAACAGAATAAACAGTGAGGTAAATATAAAAATGATTTATTTGAAACTAATTGTAAAACTTATTCTGCTCGCTAATAACTCTCGGCTGACTCTCACTCGCGATCTCTCAAAACTGTATGACTGACTTTAAAACACTCTGACACACTTTGATACTCTCTGACTCTAAAACGCATACTCTAACTCTACCGCGTGCTTGCGCTCTGCCTTCTTTCATACCCGCGCTCTCTTTCTCAATCGGTCAATCGAACATTGCAACTCGCACGGTGGGAGTTTCGCGGGGTTGTAAGGCCGGTTTACGCAGATGCGGCAATGTTGCTGGGATACGGCCTATTCTAAATTAACAGAACTAGGCCTGGTTATGGTTCAACTACAGAGTTCTGTGACGTGTAACTGTCTCCTGCGCTGAGTTGATGGTGGGTCCTGTATAATTGTCCGGTTTCCGTGGGATTTTTAGGAAAACTCCCCCGTCACTGCTGTCTTCGTGGTTTTATAAGTTTTATCTATCTACTGATTACTCGGTCTAATAATAAGATGTAAGAGATGGGTGTGTGTCATTCTATTGATTGTGAATAACACAATGGGACACATGGGTTCGTGTCAGCTTCGACTTTCGATCGTCTTTCGATGGTGGTGGATGTTTAAACAATTTGAGTCCTTACTAAGGTTTACCCGAGTGGTGACTAGGTGACGATGAGCGTATATAAATGAAGGGACGCTGGTAATAACGATATAAACAGTTCTCCACTTAACTATTGACGTTCGGTCTTGAGGCCGCAATAATACTCTTGCGATTATAACGATATAACGATTAACGAATATAAATTTAAGAACTTGTTACTCATCTGGTAGAATTTCAGAAAGTGTTTATTGTTAGAAAGACCGAAAGTATTTGTAAAAAAGAGGAAAGGATCTATATGAAAGAAGGTTAAAGGGATATCCATTTAGTCTTAATTTAAGCCAAACAGAATCTTGAGGATTAAAAAATGTGAACAAGCGTGCATATATATAGGTGGATACATGTATGTGCATGATACGATACATCATGATATGGTATAGATGATGAAATGAATGAAAAGGAGATGAACGAAGAGAATGGTGAGAAAATGCTACAACGCGAAATAAGTTTTATTACTTTATCGCTGATAAAATAATCTGTATATTAAACTAAATGAAAAATAAAATTTCAAAAACTAATAGAAAATCAACGATACGCGATATCAATTCAACAACAATAACTAGTTAATAATTACGCGATGTTAATATTCGCAATATTCAATATAATATAGTAAAATATAAATACCTCCAGTCGGTTTGAATCCAAATACTCCATTAAAAAAGGCAGGCATTCTAGTAGAACCACCGATATCACTGCCAATGGAAAATGCGCTTCCACAGGCAGCGGTAATTGCTCCTTCTCCACCACTACTTCCACCAACATTTCTAGTCGTATCGTATGGATTACATGTTTGTCCGTATATATTATTTCTTGACTCGGTCCACAAATTTAGTTCAGGAATATTTGTCTTTGCTATCAAAATTGCACCGGCATTTTTTACGGCACCTATCGCTGTTGCATCTTCTTTAGAGCGATAACTACGTCGACTTGTTAAACCCATTGTGTGCAGCATATCTAAATAGTTATTGAAAATAAGTACGGTAATACGATGGCAATACAATATCCAAACAACTTGGATAAATTACAGTAAATTATAGTAACATAATCACATATTGTGTGAATAGATGTGAATAGGTGTGAATAGGTGTGAATAGGTGTGAATAGGTGTGAATAGGTGTGAATAGGTGTGAAGGGAATAGATTTATATAACGATATCTATTCTTATATTATAGAAACCGAGCTTCCTCTTTGGCATCCCTTGGCATCCCTTGGCATTCCTCGCTCGGTCCATTCGCCAATACCACGATATATAACATAATCTAATAAACTAATCTAATAAACCATAATAAATAGCTAATTACACTCTACTAATTATACACTGTACTAATTGTACGTATACGATGTATGAAATATAGTTTTTGCTTTCGCATTTTGCATCGATGCTTCTGCTCGACGCGAAAGAAGAAGAAAATTAACGAAAATATGTTTGACCTTAGCCTCGATGTAACGAAAATTTACAAACATATATATTTAGCAAAAATAATGGAATAGATGAATGTTAAATTACAAGATTATCTTTTATATTTCAGTTGTTTAACGTCGCATTAACTTTTTTCCAGCTAATTAATGCTAATTAATGCTAATTAATCTGACTCGAAGAATAATAATAGAAGAATAATAGAAATAACGAGAAACGAAACGGGTGGCATTGGCTCTGCTGATTTTTCCAACAGTTTGCACGTAATCTTTCGCAATTCTACCGTCTATGGCATCTATTTTATCGAAGAATCGCCTATTTTAACGAAGAATTTACTGAGAAATGAGTAATTTAACGTACATACATCATACATAACGTAACATTTATAAGTATATAGTAGGCTTAACGAGTATCTGTATTATTTATATTATTTTAGTAGGTTTGTAGGATATGAATATCTCGAGAGTTGAAAGATACTTCTCCAAGTTGGTCCGGTTTCCAAAGTTGAAACTTTATTTGCACAAGTTGCTTGTTAATCGCCAAGTTTCCTAATCGAACGCTCGGAATAGATTAAGCGAACTCCCTATTTTGCTTTCTCTGCGCGGAAGTGCGCTTGGGAACTTTAGGCACTTGCGAACGCCGAGATGTTTCGGGCCGTCGCCTGTTTTCCCATGCCTCACGGGCTTTTCGGAAAAGCCGCGGATTTATGGTACTCGCATCAGCTGTCAAGATCGAAATTAACTAAACCTAAAGGCTGTTTTACCCTAATAAATAAGTAATAAAGGAATAAGAAACTTTCGTTGAATCCAAGGACGACTTTCTCGCAAACAGCTATGAACGAGCATGTTCCTCTTGATCCTCTTGATATCCTCTTGATCATTTGCACGTCAAATATTATTACTTGTACGTGCCTATGGCCGCTACATGTTAAATTATATTCGGTGGATATCGATTCTGTGTGACGCTTAATTTGTCTCTTTTCGCACGCACTGCTTTTTCTTCCTATACTTCGTTCTGTGCCTAGTAGAATAGCATACGGCGTTACTGATAGCGTCATTACGCATACCGACTCTATTTGACTGTAAAGCTGGTGATTTTGAATATCGCATTTTGTCAGTGATCGTGATCATCGATACCTCGATAACTAAACACTGGACTTATGTTTTGGTTACACGAGATAATGAGATGGACCGAGGGCTGTGTAGAAACGAATCAAATTTAAAAAGGAGAAATTTGTAAGTTAAACAATTTTTCTTACAAATTCATAACAAGTTTATTTTTACACGCGGAAAAGCGGAAAAGCGGAAAAGCAAAAAATGAAAAATCGTCCTTAAATTTGGGGGGTAAATCGGATAACCGAAAAATCTCTAAAGGAAAGTGAAAATTTTAGAAAAATTTTCAAATAATCTTTACCATCGACTTGAAAGATAGATAATTCGATTATTATCGGCAATAAGTCAACCATCCTACTTGGCACATACAACGTCATAGTTAAGAATTAAAAATTAAAAACATTTTTAAAAAATTTAAAAACAATACTTGATAGATTATATACTCTCTGATTACTTTTTCTGTTTCTACGCGTACATACATACGTACATAAACGATTATCATTTTTACAACGATAAAACTATTTAAATGAAAAGAACGAGTGATCCGATTCACTCCTAACAAACTGATCCGGTTAGCCCCGGTAAATAAAAATTTCTACTTTTATTTTTCAATAAAATATAAAATACATAAACAAATTATGACAATATACAATAATATAAAATTTATCAAGTATTATTCTTAGACACTGTGTAAACTAATAACGTTAAATTGAAATTGAAAATTCAAATATGCGTGAACTGTCTTACTTTAAATAGGAAATTGCCAACTAAATTGCCAATTATTAATTTTTACTACTTATTTTTAAGACATACATATTTATCAAGGCATAATTCCTTGATAATGTCAAAGCAGAACACCTCTTTTCCACTGGCAAAGATATAAAAATCGCATCCTCTTAAATGTGAGTGTTAAAAAAAAGGCGATATTTCGCATCGCCTGGAAATGAAAAATTCCTTCAGGATCTTTAAGAGCATTTTCCAAGGAAGAAAAAATTCCTTTATCACTTGGCCGAGAAATGATGGAACATACTGGAACGTCATGTTTCATCGTCTGCCCCTTCGTATACCGAACCATATTCGATATAATTAGGGAGGATCTCTGCTGGCAAATGTGCCAAAGCTTTGAATCAATCTAACAAGCCGAAATACCGTGTAAGCATTGCTACATGGGAACAGCACCCAGCAGCACATTTCGTGCCTCAACTTTGCATCCACGTATGCGTGCAAAAACGATTTCTTCAGTCCAACTTGACTTTTATCTACTAATATGTATACATAATATTTTTCAAGTATTCGAATGCCGTTGAAATGCTGTTATTCGATTCTACGGTGATTTCGTACTTTTGATAATGCGATACGATGGTGTTGCAGTTTGGAAATCAAAATCTCTGTTTTATATAAGCATAAATCTTCGTAACTCAATGTTGGTAAGATTCTAATTGTACGACTTCTATACGTTGGAAATCTGCTCCGCTGTCGCAAAAAATTAATCTGATGCAAATATTGCAAACTCGTGTCTATAATAAGGTGATCAAGGGCAGTGATATGTATTAGATGAAACTCTGCGTTTAGAATGGCACAAGCTATTTTGAGGTCATAGAATAAGCCTTTTATGGGTCTAGTAATTACTTCGACCATAAACCGATGCTCATCTGAAAATGATGGCATTCAAGCAAAGGAAGTCTCTTCTTGTTACTTTCTTCAGAGAGTCTGAAAAAGCACGATCCACGAGGAAAATATCATGCACTTGAAATTGACGTATCGGCTTCTAACAACAGTTCATTTAGAATTGATACATTATTTTTAGATTCGTAATATAGTTCCTGAATATTTGCTATATAACCGCCCATATAACTAATTACTGACTCTGTACCGAAACGGAAGACGTCGAAACATGACGCGAACGAATGACATGGAGCGAATGAGTGCATGGTTTTAGTTTTAAACGAGTACATGGGCACGCTTGGACCGTTCCTCGAAAACGAGGAACAACGAACAGCGGCCTCGAGTTCGGCTCGAGCTGATATTCTGGCTGATATTTGGAGCGTGTAAGGAAGAACAAATGATCGCGGGCAAGGATTGTATTGGCGAAAGTCTACGAATGCGTTTTGAGTGTTTGGTGTAGCTGCCTCACCAACGGCGTGGGAAATGCGTAATTGAGAAAGGAAGCTTGCGTATGAAAGAAGAGAGTGTGTCAAGTCAGTTTTCAGGGAATCCCTTTCCAGAACACTGAAAATGTGCGTATTTTGGGCATTTTTTTTACAAGAAAGTATTTACTTGGCCACTTTGAAAGCTAGGAGATGTTATTAAGTAGCTATAAAAGTAGAAAAAACATTTTCTTTCACATTCTAAGAAAGAAGTTACAAATTACAAGAAAATTACAATTTACAGTTATAACAGCGTATATGTATGAATAGTGTGGTATCGCAGGATGAGTGGGTCGAGCATGTTATCTAGAGTGCGTGCGAAAGGACGAATGACCGTGCGCTAGGATCGTGTGGACGGGATGTTTATGAATGTATCGGATGAAAGTGAAGAGTGTCTTTAGGAATGCGTTTGAGTGTTTGGGCTACGTGACCCGCTGAGGGTAAGATTGCAAGGAGTGCGTGGGAAAGTGTGATTGGGAAAGAGAGAATAGGTATGAAAGAGGATAGAATGTATGGTTTTAAATAGGGATGCAAGGGCGTGAGTAGGCAGTATGTAGTATGTCGTAGTATGGTGTAGTATATTAGAGTTCGTAGCAAAGAGTTGTAAAGAAAGAAGTCGTTAGTTGTACTTGTGTTGTTAGCTGTAATGGTGTTGTTAGTTGTATTCCTGTTGTTAAGTGTAATCGTGTTGTTAGGTATAATTGTGTCGTTGTAGTCGTAAGAGTTTAGTTGATAGATATCTATATTCGTAGTCTTTACCGTCACCGCACATTGTATATTATATTTTATGGTTAATAAATAGTTTTATATTATTTAACACCACCCTATCCCTACAATAGTGAAAAAAAAAAATTGATTTTTTTTACTCTTTACATCAGAATCCCTCCTTATACGAAGCAACCTCGAAGAAACTCTATCGTTTATTCGGCTACTCATTGTCAGTATTATACAACGAATGGGATACTGCGAGTATTTATGTTTATATCAACAGTATTAAATAATGTCGACATCTAAGAAGCGACGTCTGGGGCGTAATCGATCGACAGATGTATCGACAGATGTATCGATCGTCTATTTTAGAAATCCATGAAGGTCGTTCCACAGAACTGGCTGTTCTATCTGTTCCCCGTTGTGGGACGAAAGGAGGCGCCTAGAAGAACACAGTTACGGTCTTCTAACTGTTGGCTCCTGAGTGCTAACATAATTCCATCATCGGAATATTCTATTCAACGACAATGTCGTCATTGTATATTTGTAGAAAATTTCTTTTTGTTGCTTCGAGTGTTACCGGGCAACAGGCCTGCAGGGGCGAAACCAGGCCACACGCGTTGCTTCTGTTGGCTTCCAGCATTCCAAGAGACCACAAACAACGGAAGGTAATAACGACGCGGTCACTTTTACACACGGTCACCATCAACATACGGATTTATTTATTTAGTTATTTTATATCTCTTCTTACATAATAAATGATAAATTCAATTATGTTATTATATTAAATTAAAATTTGACATTGCAAAAGTATTTCAACACCGAATAAATTTGAATGAAAAAAATTTTTTAAATTAAAAAAATTGAAATAATAATTTTTTATATAATTTAAGTATTATACACAGGGTTCGATACTTAAAAAATTATTTTTCATTAATAAATCTGATCTATGATTAAAAATAAAAATAGAAATTTATCATTTTTCGTTAATGTACATTTTTTTCCTGCTATTATATTATTCTTATCCCTAGTAAACTAAACAAAGTAAACTAACAAATATTTCAATCATTTCAACGACCTGTAAGAGATCTCTAAAGATCGACGATTGTTCCACTGGTAATAAGATCGAATTAACGTCTATTTACATCGGTGTGATTGTAGAATTAGGATACCCTTTTATACTCTATTACATACTCTGTCTCATGTTTTCCAATGTTTCCTCTCTATGTATATCACCACTAGTTTGGTTTACAAGGTTAGTTGGTCACGATTAGTGACGGACGGTTCCGAAAGGAAATTGCGTGTTTCTTCGAGTGTCTAGTAGGCTGCATGTTTTATATCGTGTATGATAGACAACGCCTTGATGTTAAAAAAACGCATGTGACGTCTTCGAAAGTAGATTTGCTCCTCTCTGTGCTTTGCGAGAATTGGCTTGATACCGACTTATCTTTTGTCCGGGACTCTCGAAAAATTCAGAATGTTGAAAAACTAGGCTAGGACCAAGTATCGTGGAATTGGCGAGTGGACCGAGCGATTTGATAAGTGTTCGGAATGATGCGACAGTGGATCAAGAGAATGTTTATGCTAGGTTATGAGAGCGTGAGAAGTGCGAATGAGTTTCTAGCATGGTATTCTTTACTGCGAGACTACGTTCTGCGAGACTACGTCGCCGAAGTCGTACTTCCGGGTTTTACGCTCTATATTCGATCGTGTTGTACATAGATATTTCGATAAAAGTGCACTGCACTTGCTTTACCATATGTTAATTTATATTTTTTTGTTGTGGCTCAGCGGGGACGTCCGAAAATTCCTACGCTGCAGGTCGGGGTTCCATTCCCGTCCATAGCGTGGTACGTTTTTTCAATCTACTTTTTATTTTCTATTCATTTTTCGCCTATGAATAAAATTTCTTAATAAAAAAATTTATTCTTTACACTTTCTTGTACAAGTATATACAAATTATTGCAAATATTAAATAAATTCAATTTATTTTGTTGTTCACGAGTAGTAACTAATAAATTTTGCGATTCCAATTGGCAATTAACAATTTATCAGTCATTTGTGAATAATAACTAAAAATAAATAATAAAGAATTATATTTCATTCAAATAATTCACATTTATGGTCATTTGAAAAATCATCCTCTATATTTGTTTCGGTCTTGCGTTCTCTGTCAAGAGTTTTCACACTTTCTGGCGATAGATTGCTTATGTTAAAACCGATAAGGAAACTCGCAGGCATCGGAATATATTTTCCAATCAGGCAGTTTCTATCCAAAACCACGGTAAAAAGTAAAAATAAATTTCTTTTATTAAGAAATTTTATTCGTAGGCGAAAAATGAATACAAAATAAAAAATATATTGAAAAAAAAAATTACCAAACTCTGGACGGGAATCAAACCCCGACACCTGTAGCACAAGAATTTTCGGACGTCACCGCTGGGCCGAAACGCTACTTTAAAACTAGTGGAAATACGTCTGTAGTTAAGGAAGTAATAAAACTTTAATCATAAATATCTCAAAAACTACCGGGTAGTTGCCCCTATAATGATATATTTGCTTCAACTGCATGACGAGATCTACAAACCTGTAAAGTTTGAACCAAATCGGTGACCCGAAGGACTTGCACTCTCTTTGTTAGTAATAAATTTGTATTAACAAATTATTATTTTTATTTTATACTTCATTATACAATACACTTAGCTGTAGGTTAATTATTAAATAGTTATAATTTTTGAAATATAATTATTAAAAAATAGCAAATCATCTATGTTTCACAGATAAAAGGTAATATTTAAATATTAAAGTTAAATATTAAGTTTAGAAATAACGCTCAATGGTTTCGTGTACATTTTTCAAATAAATACACAAATATTGTTACTATACATTTAAGAAAATGTATTTTTATTAAAAATTATTTAGTAAAATCTTCTTTTCTTTTCTTCTATCGAATCGTTTACTCAAACTAACGTGAAATCATTAAAATATCAAAACTTTAACTCAAACGTTGCACGTTATCCAGTCATTTCGAAATTCTACGCGTATTATTTTCTCACTAATTGTTATAATTTAAGGCAGTAAAACTAAAAAGAATTAAAAGTTGAAAAATAAGAACAATCTTATTAAGTACAGGTACCTTGAAAGCGAGATAAAGCATCAATTAATTTTCCTCGGCTAACCACGATCAGTTATCGATAGTAAGTATGAGTCGGTGCATATAACGATAATAAACAATGAATATTACAAATGAACGTTTGTAATGAAGTTTTTCCAATAAAAATGCACTGAAACACGCTACAGCGAAACGGAATGTTGAAAATACGAATATTAAAATAATTTTAAACGGAATATGTTGTACTGGTGCGCGATATGAGACATTATACCATAATACGGTACACGTTGACGATACGTTAGAACTTTTCTAAACATCAATTGTCGATCACAAAGATCGTTGAAGAGACGAAACAGAAATTCGAAGCTAGGATTTTTAAATAGATAAATTATACGCTAATTAGCCTTCAAATTTTAATCCCCAATTTCACCCGAAAAAGGTTTCCACAGATCACATTTTCTTTTCTTTTCCATCATTGAAGAATGCATTAGAAGACTTATTATTTTCACTAGATCATTCTATCAAAATTCTAATACGTGTAATTAACAAACTTAGCTAACATACTCTGATTTTAATAATACAAATTATATATGTCTTATATATGTCAACGCACGCAAACAATTTTCAATACATTTAATTACTACATAAAAAATTGAAATATCAACAAAATTACCTTTAGCTTCGTTGCTTTCTTTTGTTGTAAAAGGTACACCCAATAATGGTTTTTCTTTCAACGAATCAGAATATTGTAATGTCTGTAAAAGTTTATCTACTTCTTTAGCTTCTTCTAGGGCTTCGGAATATCTATCCTCAACTACTGCATTTATTATTCCATTTACCTCTTTTGCTCTTTCTATAAATGCTGTCACAACCTCTAAAGATGATATTTGTTTTGTTCTATAAAAATATTTATACATTTCAATTTTATATTGAATAATTAGAATTGTAATGATTTTAGCTAAATATTAAAGAATTTCAATATTTATATTAGATTTGCAAGAAAATTCTTTGGATCATATGTAATTAATTGATAAACCCTCAACTGATGCACGAGTCCTTCCACTTTATTACAAGAATTTAAGACTACAAAATATCTAATATTGTAATTATGAAATAAATAATGAGATAATAATCATTGATCAAAATGTATTTGGAGCCTTTAAAAATATTAATTTATAAAATATTTTAAAAATATTGTAAATTTCATTGTTGTTAAAATTAATTTATACATGTCCAATCTCATTTTTGTCATTTAACGAAAAGTACACTTTTTGTAAGGGTATTTATCAATGAGTTTTAATATCTACAAAAAATTGTATAAAAAGTCTATTATTTGTTACTATCAATAGAAAGCTTAAAGTATATTGTATGATTACTTTAAGATGAATTAAATTATGCAGCACTTACAATAAAATGCAATGTTTCAGTTCTGTATAAATTATTACAAAAATCATTAAACACGAGTAATTCAATCCAAAAACTATAATTTTGATAAAATCTTGTATATATATATATAGATTATAATAAAGTAAACAATTTCTTTGAAAAAATCTAATTTAACAAAAATTTAACTAAATAAGAGAAAAATTTATATTTTTTTTTATTACGTAAATATAGTCTATAACAATATGAAACATAGCAAAATTTTAATATGCAAAACTATGTTCTGTTGATTCGTTATAAAAAAATCCAGAATACATCATTTTGAAACAAATAAATTTTTTATTATTTTGTACATAAATATGTAATAATAAGAGTAGAAACAATTATTACATGTAAAATATTCATTATTTTTAACAATTTACTAAAATGTAAAATATATATTTCAGTATGTCACTTGTCTTGAAAAAAACTATTGTTATATTTCATTGTCGTGTATCAAATCATGTTATTATTATTGTTTAAAAATTATCTAATATTAATCTTTTGGATTAAATGAAATTATTTTGAATAACTAATGTAAACAAATAAACAGATACCAATGTATTTTATTCTTCCAAGTGCACAATTATATTTAAATGTATAACTCATCAAATGTTTAGATATAAAGTACCAAAATTTTTCTCAATTACTAGAATCTGAGAATGATTTCTTGCTTTCCTAAAAGATGCATATTAATTTATTCCTATAAAGAAAAAGATTAATTTCCAGTTAGTATAGTTTTAAAGTATTAAGAGCACTTCCCTTTTTCTCACAATGCAGCTTCTCCTAAAGTGTAAGCTTTTGCATTATACTTAGGTGTTCACTATACACGATAAGATATTTAAAGCAAACCAGCTAAATATCTTATTTGCTAATTTAATGCCAATAATTTTTTATAGGTAAAGGTATAGAGAAAATATAAAGACAAAATTAGATTTTTTTAAACTAATTGATATAATTTTTCATTTATATTTCAATACAGTATTCTAAGATAAATATAATATCCTATAACGGAAAATCATTTAAATTTGCACAAGATCAATTATAAAAGAAAATACATTATTTCAATGTATTTTTTACATATTTTGCTAATTTATTTATTTACATGCTCAATATTAGAGCATACTTAATATTAAAATGATGATCCTTTTTTAGCATCTCTAGATATATGCTCTAAAATTTCCCAATACAGAAAACACTGCATGATAAATTTCATTTGAATCAATTCTATTACAAAGCTCTTCTTATATACTCCTTTGTGTCTTCTGTGGTTATTTGCTGTATATTTATTTTATTGCTTATAAAAAAATTATTGACATTAGATTATATATCCATTGAGAACAAGTATCTTCTCTTTCTATCGTGAAAAGTAAATTATACAAAGGATCTATTTTAAATACCTCACCCTCTATATGATATAATAATTATTTATATTATAAACATTGAATTTAATATTTCTCCTATTATTTGCAATATACATTAAATATTATGTAGAAAAAATGTTGTTATAATTTTTAATTAAAAGATTTACTTATATCTCATATGGTAAATTGGAAATTAGATTACCAAAAAAAAATATTTAACATAATACAAATTTTATTACGTTAATCTCTTGTATGAGTTTTAATACAAATGCAGCTTAGGAACATAATACTCTTTCAATTCTAAATATTTGTTAATAAAGAAACAGTTTTGTATGAGATGAACTTGTTGCTTTTGTATAATAAAAAATAACTTTTAAATGTTGCAAAATGTAAATGAAATCAAATATCATTCCAAAGTACAAATATAAATATGCAATGATAAATATTTATAGCAAATATGATATTAAATTATATTTTTTTATATTCTAATAGATTGTGTAAAATAATAAATTTTTTGAAAAATGAATTTACAAATTATACATCATATATCTTCTTATAATAGGATAATAAAACAGATAAAAATAATTTGTCCATTAAAGATCTAATTTCTTTTCTTTTTTACATTGCAATTACATTACAATTTATAATACAAAATTATATTTAAAAAGTGAGAAAATATATAAGTTTTATATATTTATTTAATTTATTGCAATTTTCGGAATTTCAAACAAAGATTACTCCTTGTATTCGCAAAGTTTGTTTGAAATCACAATTTTCCAGTTGCTTTATATTTCTTGCTAACCAATTAAATAAAATTTTACTCGCTGTTTCTTATTTATTACAATATTAGACTATTTTCATATAAACTAATCACATTGATACTAAATACATATTATATACCAATGTATCAAAGAAAATAATTTATTGCAATCTATGCTTACTAATAATTGCAAAATTTAAATTACAATAAAAATGATCAGGTGGAATAAAAAATGTAGTATTATATCTGATATGTACTAATAAATTAAATTTAATACTGTCATTTAAAAAATTAATAAGGATTACTAACAAAAAAAGAAATTTTCATATGATAATATTCTATTATATATACATACTAATCATAGCATGAAAAATGATTCCTTTCTTTTAGGTAAAAATTAATAAATCTAACTTACATTACTATATTCTATGACTATTATAAAATATCATAAATGAGATAAAAATTTAATAATTAGAAAACAAATGCATATTTATAACAAAAATAGAAATTCATATTCAAAAGTTACAAACAAGTCACTAAAAAGTGACAAGCAATAATAAAAAATCAAAACATATAAATACTGAATCACAAAAATGACAGAACTTTCTTGTAAACCTAATATACGTATTATACAATATTTAGGCAAATTATTTATTCTGACTATATAACTAAGAAGCATATAGTTAGTCAAAAAAGTCTCTGTACATCATACAAGAATTTATTCAAAGTTGCATAATTTTAAAGGAAATAGTAATAAATAAATCATTTTTGTGTTATTATTTTCAGAAATGTAACATTAATTATTAATACAAAATGAAAGACATTACATCCATTTGTTAACAAATAAACAAATGAAAATGATGAATATAACAAAAATGAGGTCAAAGGAGTCTCCGTACAGAGAAGAATTTAATTTACTGTGTTAACGGTTCGGATGAATGTTTACAAATAATTCTCAAGAAAACACTCTAGAATCAAGTACAACTTAACTGCTTGACTGTCAGTAAAAATAAATGACGTTTTTGTGAAATAATTTCTCTGAAATGGAAATATCAATTGTGACCAACGATTTAATTGTAAAATTAGGAAAAGATAAATTATCCATTAGAAAAATTGTTGAAATAGTAAAAAGGACACGTTCTTCAGTACAATATATTCTTGAGAAATACAAAAAAACTAAATCTATTCAAAGTCTACAATGTACAGATCAACCACAAAAATTAGATATCAATCATAAATGTGCAACCTTAAGAACAATTCACTGTGATCCACAAATGAGTACACCAAAATTGACCTGTATGATAAAAAATGATTATAGTATAAAAGTAGTGCCTGAAACAATTTCAAATGTTATAAGAGAATCTGGATACAATGGTTATACAGCCAGGAGAAAAGTTTTCATATGTATAATTTAAAGTTAATAAAAGAAAATATTCTGAATTAGCAAATGCACACATTAATAAAGATCAGTCTAGGGATGCATGAGTCCATTAAGGAATAGAAATTTATTCTTCACTGACAATATTATGCATCAGAATATTTATTTGAACATCTTGAAAGAAAATTTGAAAGAAAGTGCCAGGAAATTACATCTTGAAGGATTGTTTATTTTTCAGCAGG